AATGATTAGTAAGATGAGGAAAATCATATAATCAGGAAATTTCGTGTAATCAGGTAAATGATATATAATTTCATCATATAATCAAACTTTATTATTGTCTTAATAATATTTTGATTTTAAAAAAAATGTACACATAATAACTTATTCGTATATAATCTTAACTCCGCCTACTTGAAAATTATGACGCCGGTCTCAATCCCGATTTTCTGGAATCTAAGTAGGACCCCCAATCCGCATCAGTAAATGCACGCAACTGTAATGAAGAACTAGCTGAAAACAGAAGACCTTGGCCTGTAGTACCCTTAATATATTGCAGCAGGTGATGTACCGCTGTTAAGTGCGGTTTTCTAGGCTAAGACACATATTGACTGAGTTTATGCACAGCAAATGTAATATCTTGCCTGGATATTGTGAGATATAGCAACCTACCAACCAATCTCCTATACATAGAACTATCCTTCAACAACTCCCCTTCAAAAGAGTTCAATCGAACTTTGCAATCCATAGGTAAAGCTGTAGGTTTGCAGGCAAGGGGTTCCTTGTATCTTCCAGCAACTGAAGGGCGTAATGCCTTTGAGATAAGACAATGCCTTTCTTAGAATGAGCAATTTCTAAACCAAGAAAATACTTGAGTTTCCCAAGATCTTTCAGTTTAAATTGTTGATGTAAGGCTAATTTCAACTGATTGATAATTTCTAAATTGGCTCCAGTGATAACTATATCGTCTACATACACAAGAAGAGCAACAAAACTCATTCCAGCACTTCTAGTGAACAAAGAATAGTCTGATTTCGATTGTTGAAAACCTTGGAGTAAAAGAGCATTAGAGAACTTAGAAAACCATTGTCTAGAAGCCTGCTTCAACCCATTAATGGACTTATGTAACTTACATACCAGACGCCCCCCTGAGTATGAGAAGAGATGGGAGGAATATATCACAATGGTAAGTCCATATAAATTTCTTCAAACAAATCACCATGAAGAAACACGTTATTGACGTCCAGCTGAATGATATGCCATTGATTTATGGCTGCAACTGCTAATAAAAGCTTCACATTCACTAACTTTGCTACTGGAGAGTAGGTTTGTAGAAATCAAGTCCTTCTTGTTGAGTATATCATTTCGCTACCAGTCGTGCTTTGAAACGATCAACAGCCCCATCTGATTTATACTTAATCTTGTAAACCCACTTACAACCTATAGAATGCTTTCCTGGAGGTAACTTGGTGATGGACTAGGTTTTATTCTGTTCCATGGCAGATAACTTAGCAGCCATGACATCCTTCCAATGAGTGTGTTGCACTGCTTGGTGATAATGTTGAGGCTCGATAAGGGATAAAATATTGAGGCGTAGATGAGTATGAGGAGAAGAGAATTTTTCATAAGTGATGTAATCACTTAAGGGATAAGGATAAGACTTATGATCAGTGGAAGAAGTGCTGTGAGATAGAAGATTGCAGTGAAAATCCTTTAAGTATGATGGAGGTTTGTTATGTCGAAGGGATCTCCTGATAGGAACATCAGCAGGAGTGTTAATGATAAGTTGACCTGCAGATGGTGAAAAAGAATCAAGAGATGGAGATGGAATATTAATAGTATGATCTGAAGAGTGATTGGGATTGAAATTATTAACGAGAGATTCTGATGAAGTAGGATTATCTGGAAGAGAGACAGGTAGAACAACATGAGGAAAATCATCAGTAAAATCAGCACATTTGGCAATAGAATGAAAAGGAAAAATATTCTCATGAAATATTACATCTCTGGAAATAAAGAAGCTTTTGGATTCAACATCATACAAGCGATAGCCTTTAATACCAGGATGATAGCCAACAAAGACACACATTTTTGCACGAGGATGAAACTTTAGGTGATGAGAAGGAATAGTGGAAGCAAAACACAAACTCCCAAAGACTTTGAGAAAGTTGTAATCAACAGGAGACTGATAAAGTAAGGTATATGGTGTTTTGTTTTGCAAAATAGGAGAAGGAGTCCAATTAATCAAATAAGTTGCTGTAAGAACACAGTCTCCCCAGAAGGATATAGGAACTTGAGCCTGAAAAAATAGTGCCCTAGCAACATTAAGCAAATGTTGATGTTTCCATTCAACGACTAAATTCTGCTCAGGTCTTTCAATGCAAGAGAATTGATGAAGTACTCCCTTAGAACTGAAATAATCTTTGAATTGTAATTCAGGAGCATTAGGCCTTAATAACTTTGTTAAACCGAGTCTCAACAAGGCTAAAAAACTTGGGAATTATATGATGTACATCAGATTTTTGCTTCATTAAATAAACCCAAGTAAACCTTGTACAATCATCAACTAAAGTGAGAAAATATCTTAATCCTTCACGAGTTGGAGAATTGTATGGACCCCAAGTATCACAATGGATGAGGTCAAATGCATTAGCAGATAAATGATTATTCGACACAAATGATAACCTTCGTTGTTTAGCTAAGGGACAAATATAACATGGTGCAAAGCATCTGTCATTCTTGAACTTAAGCTGATCTTTAAGATTTTCCAGTCTTTTAAAAGACAAATGACCAAGTCGATTGTGCCAAACAAGATAAGGTACATTATTCAATACAGACAAAATAGGTTTACAAAAATCGTCAGATGAATTACATTTATCCTTCATTTCATCATTTACTGCTTCAATGACATAAAGACCATCAATTCTCCTAGCCCTGCCAATCATCCTCAAGCTGCAAGTGTCCTGAATGTCACAATAATCAATGAGAAAATTGACACTGATGTTGGAATTCCTTATTACAGAACTGATAGACAACAGGTTGAACTTGAATTGGGGCACAAATAACACATCTTCAAGAATTAATTTAGATGTTAATCTAACAGTTCCAGCAAATTTTACTTGAATTCTGATACGATTAAGCAGTGTGATGTAAATGTTCTAAACAGCCTTCAATTTTTTGAAACGAGCCCAATTGTAACAGACACGACTAGTAGCTCTTGAGTCTAGTACCTAATGTATAGGAAAACTAATTTGAGCAATAGAAATGGAAAGGCAAGTACCTAATTCATGACCAGATTTAACACCCTCAGTTTCAACTTTAGCATCTGAGAGATGTATACTTAGCAAGATCAACAGTTGTTGATATTGATCAGAATTCAAATCTTGCACAAAGCTCCCAACATTGCCAATATTGCCAACATGCTTATCTGAAATAGAGCCAGAAATTTGATTAGCAATAGCATTAGTCGATTGGACATTATAACCTGTTTGATTGCTTCCACTGGACTCTATCAGATTAGTAGAATTGAACTTCTGTTTTGGTTTGTATCCATGCGGAAAACCATGAAGTTCGTAACACTTGTCAACCACATGACCAACACCTCCACAATAAGTACAAACATGCTTCTCTCTTTTCTGGAATCTACTATAGCTTTGCCCCGGATTAGCTCTTTTAACTTCATTTCTAGTAAAGAATGCCAAAGAATCAGTAGCCCTTGCAGTAATATTTATAGACCTCTGATGTTCTTCTTGAGATATGAGGGAAAACACTTTGTTAATGGGTGGAATAGGATCCATGAGTAAGAATTGTCCTCTAACCTGGGCATATGAGTCATTTAAGCCCATTAAAAATGACATCACATATTCCATGTGATAGTGTTAAGCCAATTTCTTGTTCCCTCCATAATTGCACTGACCACAGGAACAAGAAGGGCGATAATTGCTAAGCTCTTCCCAAATAGTTTTCAGCTTAGTAAAATAAGTACCAACAGATGATTGGCCCTGTGCATGATTCATTAGATCTCTTCTCAATTGGAAAATCTGAGGATCGTTCCTCTGTTGGAAACGTTCCCTGAGATCAAGCCAAATCTCGCGAGCAGATTTGGAATATATGATGCTAGCAAAAATTTCCTTTGAGACTGAATTAAGTATCCATGAGATAACAACATTGCTGTTTCGAATCCAAGATCTAAGGAGTTCTTCATTTGCTTCAGGCTTGGTGATTGATCCATCGATGAAACCAAGTTTATTTTTCACCGAAAGTGCTATGGTCATGGCTCGACTCCATGAAGTATAATTTTCACCAGACAATGGCTGAAAAACCAGAACTAAACCTGGACCATCAGAGTGATGTAGGTAATAAGGACTTGAAGCTTCATCAATGGCGGATTGATTCGTTGATGAAGATGAATTTTGATTTTGAAGGGTAATATCTGCCATGAATGATCTGAATTCAATGGCGAGAGAAGGGAAGCAAAAGTCGCTCTGATACCATATTGAAGAATTGAGAGAGAATTGAAGATCAGAAAGATATCTATTATTCTTACTGAAATGAAATGAATTAACAATATAAATACAAAAGGAATGAGCAAAATAGGCAGGAACCACAGTTAATGACAGCTCACTATTCTAACTAATTTTGGTGCCTAATATTCAGCCTTCCAGCAGCTTCTATGAACTCTGAAATGAGGGTTTTCAAAATATGATTTTTAAAAAAAAAATTCCTATTAAATTTCAAAGACCATGCTACTTGTACACCCCGATGTACAAATAGCATTTCTCACTCCAGAAACATTATACTACTGTGCTACAAATCCTACAATACGACACTGTAGTGTCAGGACTCAGTGGATTCTCTCCAGCAGTACTTCTAGGACAATAATACGCCTACATTGTACAATAAAATGACCAAAAAAGCCCCTTTCAGACCCCAAATTTATGTCCGAGGTCCAGTCTATTCCATTATTTAAATCTTGAAATTCTGACTCTAGTTCCCACCACTTTCTCGAAATTTTCTTGTAAAAATTTGTCTTTCTTCCCTGAAGGATCAACAATGTTTCAAAGTCTTCTCTATGAGGTTACTGATTTTCAAAGTCTTCATTTTCCACTTATTAATACCATTATTTTTTTCCCCTTCAATCCCAATGCACGATCATGATTTTGTACTAAATATATGATCCAAGAAGAAAAGATTGTGTATTTTGATTAGTTTTTTTTCAAGATTTGAGGTGGGTTTTTGCTAACATGACTAGTTTTTTGAGAAGTATTTTACCTGGTTCAACTTCGACATCGAGAAGTAATGATTGTGATGAGGATTATAGTGCGGAATACTCCTTTGCCATGGAGTACAGTGGTCCTCCACTCAATCAGGATATTCCTCAGGTGGTTCCGATTGACGTTCGCCGGATTCCGACCGCGGCCGTGGAGGCTAAGGTGTTGAGTAATTTGTCGCTTCCGGTTATTCAGCCAATTGTCAAGAGTAAACCCTCGGAGAAGAAATTGTCAATTAAATCTCCGGTTTCTGTTGTACAACTGGGTAAATTTGGGAGTTCTGAAGAGAATTTATTGAGAAAATTAAAGATTGGGGATGAAAACTCTAGCAGTTCCGGCACATTAGGGTTTTCTGAAAGCCGCGATGATTCGAATCAGTTATCAGGAAGCTCCGATATCGAGGATATAGATGACGACGTCAAGGCCGGAGTAGATAACAATTACGGTAAATTAACAGTGGATTCGCCGGAAATTTCATCCTCCGATGGAGTGGATCTGGAAGGTTGTAAAGATGAAGCTGAAGCCCCTGGCCTTCGCATTAGACCACCAATAGTGGATTTTCATGAATTTACTCAAAGTGGCATAACTTCTGATGAAAGTGATCACGACCCGCAGGTAGTCTTTCCGGAGAGGCCGGTGGTACCGGACGAGGTAAAAGGCTTGTGCCACCGATGCAACAGCAGGAGCCGGTTCTCGGACAAGGAAGTTTGCATTGTTTGTGGAGCTAAGTATTGCAGCAAGTGTGTGATCAGAGCAATGGGATCAATGCCGGAAGGGCGAAAATGTATTACTTGCATTGGTTATCGAATTGATGAGTCGAGGCGTGGATCATTAGGAAAAACTTCTCGACTGCTGAAGAGAATCCTCGTTGATGAAGCCATTAAGCACATTATGAAATCCGAGCTTTCTTGTGAAGTAAATCAGTTACCGCCTCATCTGGTTGTTGTAAATGATAAGCCACTTACTATCGAGGAGTTGGTTTCCTTGCAAAGCTGCCCGAATCCACCAAAGAAGCTGCGACCGGGAAGGTTTTGGTACGATAAAGTATCTGGATTTTGGGGAAAGGTAACTGAGTATAGTCTTGTTACACTATCTTGTAAAGTTTAACAATGTATTATCTGAAATTAAGATAAAGTAGGAAGAGAAATGATCGGCCTTGTATGGGAGGGATTAAAATCAAATTAAAATTGAAAATATAGCCGTTATTGTTGACTTTTATTAGACGAGTGGGACCCAATAACGGCCATATTTTTAATTTTAATTGGCTTTTAATCCCTCCCGAACGGGGCCTTAATATAAGGTCCAATAGCATAAATTGGCTTTTAATCCCTCCCGAACGCTATTAAGCAACGTTGCATTGACACGGCCCTGATTAAGTTTATGGTGGGTCCTAAGAATTAAATTAGATTAATGTCACTGTTGCGTAACATAAGATAAGCAACGTTGCTTAGCAGATCATTTCTCAAGGAATGAAAAATATGAAATTAAGAGCTCATGTTCTTTTTCTTGAAGAAATCATGGATTTTGGCTCGATTGATCAGGTAGGAGAGAAACCAAGCCAGATTATCACCTCTCGACTTACTGTTGGTTACCAAATTAGGCAAGATGCTAGTAATGGAAACACGAAGGTATTGATAAATAGTCGGGAGATCACAAAACCAGAGCTCCGAATGTTGCAGGTTATTTGCTTTAGACATATGAGGTTTATAAATATTTATAATTTTTGAGTATGAAAGCTCAGCATTTTGTTGAACTTTGCAGGTTGCTGGAATCCACTGTGAAGGGAACCCTTATTTCTGGGTCACTGCAGATGGATCCTATCAGCATGAAGGTATGAATTACGTGATGGGGAAATTATGGGATAAGGTGAGTACAACTTTGGCGGTCGATTCTCCTTTGTCTTTGTGATATTCACCTCAATCCTGTCTTAATTCTTAGAATGGATATATTAATTTATTTTTTTTTCAGACAAGAGTGAAGGTAGTATGTAAAGCACTATCTTTGCCGTTTCCTTCTAATGTTTCTAATCACGGAGGAGAAGAACTTGCCAGTAACACCTATGAAGTTAACTTAAAGAACTTAGATCGGAAAACAATTAATAAATTTCTCCTAGTCGGTGGTCATCAGTCGGGAACAAGTACCATATTTAAACAGGTAGTTACTGAAAATTTTATTTTCTTCCTTTTGATTGAAGTTCTGCTAATGCCACTGGTGAAGTACACATTATAGCTGTTCAGCAACGAACTAAGAGTTGTCTAATATTCAGATTCAGTTTTCCTTAAGCTTTCGAAGTTTAATTGATGAGATTATAGGCGATCATTCACAACTAACGAATTTGTTTAATTATTTTTTTGATTCTAGGCAAAAGTTCTGTATGATGTTCCTTTCTCAGAAGATGAGCGTGAAAATATCAAATTTTTAATCCAAAGAAATTTATACAGTTATATTGGCATCCTTCTTGAGGGGCGTGAACAGTTTGAAGAAGATTATTTCGTTGAAATGAGGAGACGACAAGACATTGCTCAACATGATATTTCAGGTAAAAGCGTACATTCTTCTGCCATGAAAAACAAGTTGACAATTAGCATTACTTGATTTGAGTTATAATTTATAGTCTATTAACTTTTTTTTGGTTTGGAACAGAGATCTCTGAAGAGGTTGATGAACAAAATATGTATTCCATTAGTCCAAGACTGAAAGCATTCTCCGATTGGCTTCTCCAAGTTATGGTTTCAGGCAATTTGGAGGCTGTTTTCCCAGGCGCTACTCAAGAGTACGCACCATTAGTTGAGGAGTTGTGGAAGAACAAAACATTTCAAGCCACGTACAAACGAAGAAATGAACTGCATAAGCTACCACAAATGGCAAATCATTTCTTAGATAGGGTAAGTCGTTCTTCGCCATCTTTCTTTATCAGGTTGATACTAACTAGATGCATTGTTTTTAACACTAATAAGCTACTTCGACTTTTTGAAGGCTGTCGAAATTTCAAGGATTAACTATGAGCCTTCGGACATGGACATCTTATATGCCGAGGGCATCACTTCATCGAATGGGATTGCATCTATGGAATTCTCTTTTCCCATTTCATCTCAGGATACATACATGGAATCTGATGATCAGAGTGATCCCTTATTAAGGTCAGATCTCTAATTTTCAAATACGGTTCATTGTCCTTTTGGAAGAATTTGAGCTTGATTGACGATGGGGATCAAGAAGGGGTTCAAAGGCTTTATTTCGATAGATTTTAACGAAATTTTTGAACGTGCGAATAGGAGGAAACCCGCTATGATGGCTTATCGTTTTTCTCGTTTTCATCCAGGTACCAACTCATTAGAGTTCACGAGAACAGCCTCGGAGGAAACTGCAAGTGGCTAGAGATGTTTGAAGATGTCGACCTTGTTATGTTTTGTGTTTCCTTGACAATTTACGATGAATTCTACGAAGACGTAACTGGAATTCGCACAAACAAGATGATGGCAAGCAAGAAACTCTTTGAGAAAGTTGCCACACATCCATCCTTCGCCCAGAAAAATTTCATTCTCATACTCAACAAGTTCGATCTGCTGGAAGAAAAAATCGAACAAGTTCCTCTATCACAGTGCCACTGGTTTCAGGATTTTAGTCCAGTGATCAGCCTTCATCCATACAACGCCAACAGTAATAACAACCCACCTTTAGCTCAACGTGCTTTCCACTATGTTGCTGTGAAGTTCAGACAGCTTTTCACTTCCCTAACCGGGCGCAAGTTGTTTGTTGCCGCGGTTACAGGGCTGGAGCCTGATAGTGTGGACAAAGCTCTTAGATTTGGTCGGGAGGTTCTCAAGTGGGACGAGGAGAAACTTACCTTCAGTATGAATGAAGATACTATCGAGAGCATAGAGGCTAGCACTACATAATTTTCGAACGGAAAATAGCTGTATGTAGCCTCTTCTTGCTTTGGAGCATTAATAAGTAAGCCAATTTAAATGTACATATCTTCGTATTAGTCGAATAAGATGAACATGGCATGACAACAATGAAGTTGTTTTAATCAATCAAAAATTGAGTATGTTCTTTTCTTGATCTTGACTGAAGAAACAAATGGGCAGACATACATTTATATACTCTTTACACGTACATGGATCATTACATGTTTAACATTAGACATCACTAATGATATTAAATTACAGATTTAAATATAAGGAAGTATGACTCATTTAATAGGATCTATGATACGATGACATCTAGAATGGTATTCAATACACTTAATACTAGATAGATAGTATAAATTTTTTTAAAAATCGATCACTCGCTTAGTTTCAACACGGTGCAAACCGGTCCATGAGCAAAAGCAGGGTCATTTCTGTCACAGTCTCCTCCTTTAGGGCGTTTGCTGGTGACTTGAGGGTGGCTGACGATGAAGATAACTCTTGCTTTCGTTGTTTTCTTTCGTTTACTTCATTAGCCACAACCGGAATGATTGGATTTCGGGCTCTGACTTTCGCTCTTGGCTTTAAAAATTTTTCGAGGCACACATCAACTACAGCTGCCATTTCTGTACTCTCTTTTCCTCTATAATTCTTGATGAAATTATTGAAATCAATGTAGAGCTGAAAGGAGTTTATTATCGTATTTATAGTGGGAAAATGAATGGTTCTAAACGGGAAAAAAAATATCAGTGTGTTGAGGGCCCCTTGAATATTGCTATATGGTCCCCTTGGATGTGAATATTTTATAGGAATATTCCAAGAAACTGCTTAGAATATTTCTCGGACAATATTAAAGTACGGGGAAATTGTACCATTAGTCCCCACTATTTGCTTCTAGTATCTACTTTGTGGTCGACCTTCAATATGGAGCATTTTGATCCTCAACCTTTCACTTGTCCATAGTTTAATGCTACTTATACAACCGTGGTGAATGGTCGAGGACTAAATTTTTTTATTTTAAAGGTTGAAGATTAACTTGCTATTGATATCATAAGTTTGAGACGTAGTGGCAATGTGTAATAGTAAAATATGATTATCCTTAATAATTTAAAGAGTAATGCTATTCATCCCCACTTAGGATGAAAACATAGTCTACGTGGCATTAATGTGATATTAAATGATATGTGAAATTAAATAAGTTTTCATTTAATGCCACATTGACGGTGTTTTCATCCCCATTGAGGATGAATAACATTACTCTAAAACATTGATGATAAAGTTATAAACACAAAAATTTTGAAAATTGGATTAACATAAAATGTTTTAGGTTTTGTGGGACCCACTCAATTGTATGAAAACAAAAAGAATCTTTCTACACAAACAAGGGCATTTAATAGGATTTTAAAATAAGGGACACATGTCAAGCATTCATTGGACAGTTTGAAAAAAAACGAGTTACACTGGTGCTGACACGCAACACTTGTCACCCAATCCTGTCAACTGCTAGTAGTAGCTTAGTTGAAACAAAAAAAATGTCCACTTTATTATTGGTCCCTCTGATTTGCTGGATGTCTAAACGAAGAATTGCTACTGATGCAGCTCATTCAATATTAGTATCAAAACACTTAAATTTTGTCACGATTGAGTCACTTTAATAACAAATACTGATGATATACAGAAAAATTAAAAAATAAAATCATATGTTAAACTAACAAGTAATTGAATTGTGACATTTTTAAGTTCGATTATCCAATTACGATAAGCTACAATTCAATAAAGGTGATTATTATTCCAATTCTTGCCTTCAATATTTTCGACCGAGATATTAAAAAGGAATCTTTCTCCAGCGTCAAATTTCTGAAAAAGACGCGGGACAATAAATTTCATATTTGTCGAAAGCAACAAAACAAGAAGAAAAAGGACACGTAAAAAGGCCATGGTCTTTACTCGCCTAAAAATCAAAATATCTTTCCTTTGCCAACAATCTCACAAAAGCTCAATGATACTTTAAATAAAATAAATTTAAGCACTTGCAGTCTTGCATTAGGAAGAGTGGCAGACTGATGATTTAAATATGAAAAGGGAACACCTATAGATTTCCTAATTTAATAGAACTTGACTTGCATTGCTATAGCCAAGATTCGTGAGCATAAAAGGCTTGGGTTCGACCTCCTATGATCTTCATCAGCCACTAGCTTAGCCTCAAGGTTGACCGCCGAGCCACTTGACCAAATGGCTTGACCCATATCGTACAGCTTGGCTAACTCACTAGTCCACAAGCCCAGAGATTTTGTCAATTCTAACACTATAATCAACATTGTAAATAACTGGAGATATTAACTCTGTGATTCTTGATGATATTTTCAGATATTCAGTGCTATATGCACGTGGGTGAGGTGGGGTCACGAGTCTTGGAGAGTTGATAGATTTGTGTACTACATCTGTGCGGTATAAGGAGAAAACAAGACTATTCATCACAAGTTTCTTCACACATTCTAATTCCATAAGATCTAGTCTCTGTTTCTGAACCTACAAAACAGGAGCTTGCCAGTGGTATTCCAGGATCCTATGTCATGAAATTTTCCCAACTGGGGCTCCGTATTACACATGAGATCATGTCCAAATCTATCAACCCAGGTAAAACCAATGTCGATTGGATTAGGCCCCACACACCCAAAATCGACCATTGCACATTAACCAGACATTCAACTGTTCTAGCAAGAAGTTAGGATCACAGTGTTACGAGTGTTCATTAATAAATGTTCGGTAGAGACTTAACGAACAAGATTTTAATCTTATCTTTTTCTTGTTTCTATGTAGTATATTGTCTCATCCAACATAGTGAACATAATTCCTTACATTTGTAATTATGCACGAAAGAATCCAAATCTTTAAAATTTGTTACCAAGTTCTATCCAGAAAGAAGATCGAACAATCCAATCTTAAACAAACTCCAAAAATTATAGAGCACTTCCCTACATGTTTATTTTAATTTCTAAATCCATAATCCTTCTTCATACTAAAATAAAAAAGCATGTCCAAATAACATTCAGCATAACTGGATTAAGAATGAGGATTTAAGTCCCGAACCTGATCACATCCCTGAGCAAATCTGCGGCAGTTATTACATACAACTCGAGACATTGGTGTGCCCAGGGTATTATGCCATGGCACGAACCCACCATAGAAATGCCAGAGCCCATAACACGGAATAATAATGATTCAATTTCCAAACCTGCCAGTCGAGTTGAACTGCAAGGGATTTAGAATCCATAGTTTCAGGGGCTGACTCGAAAGATGAGAATACTGATCCCGTGTTAAACCAGGAAAACTAGATCGAGTTTGGCCAGCTGCTGCCAATTTCCGAACAGTCACCTTGCAAAATTTCCACATCCACCTCCTCCACAATCTCAAGGCATTATTTAGTTTTCACTGGGAGAAAGAGAGAGCATGAACTAAGGCCAAGATTAGCACCTTTACAAGAAGAGCCAGTATAGAGCATCCAGGGGAATATTCCACTAAAAACCAACTGAATTTATCACTTGCAAGGGGAATTCTGGGATTTATAGCTAATAAACATGGCATGTGACCGTACTCGGCGTAGGTGCTTCCATCCAGATGCCCGCTAGTAGACGATTCTTGAGTGTTGAGCCCCACGTTCAGCCACGGCATCTCTTGGAATGCTTGGATGTTATAGTTGTGTTTGCAGAATAATAGTCTCTTCAAACTCAAATCCAAGGAGTCCAACCTTCATACATATTGCAAAGATTGTCTATATTTGTTGCTTGCCTGATCAGAAAATCCACTTGCTCCGCAATGCTAATTTCTCTGCCAAATCCGAGAAAGTATGGCTAAATCGTCGACCACATTAAATTTATCAATTGGATTTAGTTAAGCATTAGATCGGAAGTAAATACCTGTTATCAACTATATCTTGACCATCTAGTTTCATCTCTACACGTCTTAAAATTGACATTGCATAAGCATTTCTACCTACACGCCCCAAACAATCATTCAGGAAGAATTGTAACATGTTTGAGAAAAAAATGAAGTTCCATCTCTAGCCTAGATCAGTAAGACGTTTCTTAAGACTAGATTTCTTACCCCCAATTGTTCGACCACCAGATTCTGTGTTAATCAATGTTTCAAGAGATCCGTCCTCGACCTTGTCATGGTTCAACAAAGATGCCTCATCTTTAAGGACACAACTCACATTGGAGATTTCCTGATTCAAAGAAAGTACGCTTGTAAAAGAGACAGATCATAACAAGAAGCCCTAGATAAAGCTTCCTCTAAAAGAGTAAATTATTACAAACCTGCATGATTTTTGGGTCTGTCTCCTCAAGTGGTGATCCATGTGCATCGGATCCATAAGATGCAAGGTAGTGTGGTAAATCCCTGTTCTCATTGTTATCAGAGTCACCAGAAAGGTGCTCCTTCAAGTCTAGACAACTCAAGCTATCTGCAATACTTGCCTCAGCTGATGTAACCCCGGACTCTGTGCTGCAACCACTGATGCTCTCAGGTGGAGATATCCATCCTTTATCTGTCAAAGGCGCCCCATCCAAACCAACTGAATCTATATAATTTTCACCATCAGGTTTGTAGAACATCTCACTCTCCTCAGTATCGTACACAGTGTCATGACCAGCAAGATCTGCCTTTGATGAATCAATATCCTGTGAACTTACTTCCTGGCTCTCCCCTAATCCTTCAAAAGCCTGAAAAAGAAGTAATAACAGGCATCGTAATGTATAAACCCAATATAGATCATGCATTTAATATAAACTATATCGATTCCATTACTTTATGAAGATTGCCAGCATGAAGACTTGCAGCCCTTGCTAGCCCAGTCAGGATTGAGAAAAGGCCTTTAACAGACAACATGAGAGATGGAACCAAAGGATTGAACACTTGAACAGCTTCCTTTATCCTCATACAGTAAGACTGGAATATGGCCTGACCATGAATGGGGGATATCTCCATTTTTGTCTCATTTTCCCGAGGCATCGCATCATTCATAGCAGCAACATCCTTTGATAATACAGACTCCAGAGGTAGCAGGACTGAATTAGCCTGTCCAGGATACAAGAAACTCACAGTTATACTTGTATATATTTAATACCACTTCAAAGTATTTCAAAGGAAAGCAACCAAACATAGAAAAGTAATGATGATTAAAAAACATACCTTTGAAAGATCTTCCATAAGAGAGAAGTGTAATGAGCTAGCCTCTTTTCCCAAACTGTGAACATCATGCAGATCTTCTGTGATAGCCAAGACCTAGAGAAGGTTTGTAAAGATAGTCAAGATATACATACAAGTATCTATTATTCCCCCATGACAAACTAATAAACATGATATTATGGGCAGATCAATAAAAATCCTCACTTCATAGAACCTACAATATCTATAAGATGCAATACTGTCACTTTTAATCTGTTTGTGACTGCGTGAATATGCGTAATTGGTGGCAGCGTGAAAGGATAATGAAACAGCTGAGACCTCGTATCAATTTTTGTTTTACCCTGAATATACAAGTCACAAAGTCCCTTGTTGGAATAAGATTGAAGTTACCGGTCCCCGTCCATAACTCAAATTAGATAAATTGGACGGTATAAATTTTTCTTGTCAGAAGATCTGAGAGCTAGTAAATTTGACAGACTCATCTCTGTTCGGTTATAATTATCTGCATTTACCTGCTATTGTTCTCTGTAATTAGTGCGGACAGATCTGGAATTCATTCTATTGCAATTAGATTCTAGAAATTCAGGTAGTCTCTTCTTAGGTTGTACTAAGTCAATTAGTCTGTATCCAGTTCCTCAAAATTGCAGAGGTTGTGCAGTTTTTAATTGTAAAGATCTTTGTAATTAAAGATTCTACTGAATAGGCAATAAAGGGTTACCATACGTAGGAGAATTAATACTACATTTTTGAGAAGATATCAGCATAATCCTCATTCCATAAAGAATAAGATTTTGCTTGATAACAAAATAAGAAACACAAGCCGGTCTTAGCAATCAAATTACGCAAGTATATATACAGCATACGAAGAAAAAGTCCTAGTTTTGCAACTAATTGTAACCATTAAGCTAACGCCAGCCCACCTCCTGTGCAACTCCCCTTCCTTCCCACACCCCAACGGAAAATGGAGAGAAGGGAAAGCAAAAATGTAGACTTTAAAGTGAAAACGAAACACATAATTCAATACAGCTGAGTTATAACAATGTATAGCTTCCATGTGCTCAAGCATTTCTTCGCTACCCTTGACTGTGGAAAGATGCTAGGAAACATGACAAAGAAGAACAAACAATTAAGCCACTCTTTGACACCCATTTTAATTTCATTCTCATTCTCATTTTTTTCTCTTTCTTCATTTCAACCACACATTCTCCAAATAAAATAATATTACACTCAAATCTAAAACTTTTCATCACTTTTCCACCACACACTCTCCCATCAATCACTATTCCAAAAATTCTATTATCATTTTAATGAGATTCAAACACACACTAAATATCCCATGCATATATAGCAATTCCTTTTCTCCTCCCCAAAGTCAGAGTGGAAATCTCACTATCTACTATCAGCTATCCAAAAAAATACTAACACAAGGATTATTAATGTAGAAGCGTGTTTCTATAGTCTATAATGTTATCGATATATGCCTCTATTCATCAAAAAATCATTAATGCCTCTAAAGTTTTATGAAAGAATTTTACAAAACTGAAGAAGATTGGCTATTATTTATCTTGATTCGACACTGAAAACACTTCTTAGAAGTAAGTTGAATGAAACACAATGTTAAAGATTAAAATTGAACAAGCTGAGCATGACAGAATTATGGGAATAGTACATAGATGAGAAAAAATTTATTCTGATTCAATCTATTTTATGATGACATATGTTTCCATCCATGAAATGAGCAAAAATTTATAACACAAGATATCATTTGTAAATGCTGGCCTACACTACACTATCTTGGAGTAAGGTGGTCAAAAAATATGAATACAAGTTATGTCAATGGAATAATGAGGTGAACCCGAAGATGCTTTCATTTCATAGGATCCATCGAAATATTTGATCATTCCCAAAATCTGGAAGAAAGATGATGATAATGAAGAAGCAACCTATCAAACAAATTCAGGTCTCATAAAGTTACACTAGTCAGATGTGATAGGTACTCCAATGAGTTATTGAGTTTCTATGTGTTTCTGATTCTTTTGGACAGGTTGAGTATCAAAACAAAATATTACAGTGTTTTATGACATCCAAATGAAGTAACTTATCCAGACTTGGAAAATATGGTAAGAATTAAAGTACCTCCTCGAGCATGGAACCACACTCAGAAGTCAAAGCACTGTGGCCTCTAATAATTCCGCCAAAAGCCGATAGTGCAACACTGGCTTCATAGGCAGAGTTCTTCATTGCAAGAAGAGTGGTTTGCAAATCACCTGCAGAGGATGAAAAAGGTAAGTGGAAATCTGACAACACTCGCTCCCTCTTGTAATTCCAAGTTCTATAAATTTTTTGTTTCTAAAAAAAACTGCATTTATTTATTTTTAATCACAAGTGGATTTTAAGCTCATCATGATGCAGTAAGGCCCAATCAAACCAGATAAAAGACGCTCTAATATAGATGCAAGTTTTGTGCATTTTCATAATGATCTCATGAACACCCAGGAGTGCTCATCTTTTAAAGAATATATATATGCACACATAGGTGTGCATCATTTGAAATCTAATACTATCCGTCTCATTCTACGACACTTTCTATTTTGGGTTGTACAAAAAAGAATATCACCGAACAACAAAAATGGAAGTATATTTTTATTTAGATTCCAAAATGCCCAATTAAAATTAGTAATAAAATGCAAAAAAAATTGGCATCCACATATTCAATCTCATTTCAGAACATCAATTTGAAATGAAGGTGAACTGAACAATTTAATAGAATAATTGCCAAGGAATCTTCACGTATGAAATCCTGCATATTTAATGGTGAAATCACATCATAAATTAAAATCATCCTACAATCATACTATCCGGTACACCAAAAAATCTAACAATTAAAACAGTGGGCACATTTCTGATCAATGTAAGCAAATGGTGTAAAAAAATCTGTTAAAACACCCTTTGGATCTTTTAAGAATAGGTACTTGCTATGGGTTTGCTTTCACTTCCATCTTAAACGAAAGAAGATTTTCACCTGATGCGGACTTTGCTTTATCAGAAGCCATGCGAAGTTCATTTGTTGCAGAAACTAAAACACTAGAGGCAGCTTCCATGTTGCTTTGTGCAAGCTTCCATTCTTGTTCAGCACCTGATGCATAGCATGGAAATGTATATGATATCAAAGAATTATGTGACCCTGCAACATAAATAACATCAATTTTCACCAAAAGACTTGAAACTAACGTGTAAAGGAGTGATAAGTAACATCCAATTTTGTTAATCCATTCAAGTAAGCTTGCTGCCACATCCCGGCATCTGCACTAGTCCTTAATGGATGAAGTTCTCCCGAGGTCCTAAAAGTACCATCTCGTGAAGCTTCAAACTCCAATATGGAGGTGCAAACTTTCATTATGTCAGATACATTTTCTTGAGCTTCCTGCAACAATTGTCGCCGCCTTGCCAAATGATCATGAAATTCGTGAGGTATTCCTGAATTTCTGGCTGACATATTTGACATGGAATTAGGACCACCACAAGCCCAGCTCATAGCTCTCTCAAGCTGCCCTTCTGCTGTGATAGAAGTTTGCTCACAAGATTGCAAGCACTCCAATGATTTAGCTATTTTTGCAATTGAAGATTGTATATTTTCTAGCAATTTTGGTCTGTTAATGTTTAAAATAACTTTAAGCAGGTCATCATCTGCAAGAATTTTAAGAGAGATCAACTTGGTATTTTGTGAGGGGCTCAATGTGATATCGTGAATCCATTCCATCTGCACAATTTCCAAGCTGGTCTTGAGAAGAGCCTCCTTAAGTTCATTCACCTGCCTTTTCATGACAGAAGCTGCCGATTTTGCTGCCCTGACAGTTTCATGTGCATTGCAGTACTCTTCAAGCATAAGTTGCACTTCTTTAACAGCGCCAAAATCTGTCTTCGTTGGACCAAAGTCTACATCCTTTGTTGCCTCTGCTTTTTGCCTCAGAATCTCTATTTCTCTGTCTAACCTTGTCAACAGAATTGGAGCAACTCGATCTTTCAAGTATTGTCCGATATACTCCTGAAGTTGAATTTTAACCTTTGTCTTCACTACATTCACCAGTTGGTCAAATCCTAAATTTTGATCAAAAGATGCATCGACATCATGTGTGCAGGAATCAAGCAATAGATCAACAATAGAGACTTTCCAAATAAAAAAGGCATGACTGCATAGTATGCCTGGAAACTTCCATATATACTCAGATATTGGGCATCCTGAACTCATCAAGTCTGCAAGGTGAGAAATTCCACTTGAACTGCATGAAACAGGTCTAGAAAATGAAGTCAGTGCTCGATCAACAGATTCCAACTCGGAAAACGGTTGAACTAGTGCTACCAAGAGTGCTTTGCTTCTAAAAATATGTGGCTCTGTTTCTGGCTCAGCAGCAATTAGAGATTGCAATTGCAGTTCAGAAGAGGCTAAAGTGCTATTAATACTTGCTTCTTTCTTTAAAAGAGATGAAGTTCGCAGGTCTTTCTGGCTCCACATCTGATGAAGTTTATCCAGCTGCTCTCTGCAAGCTTCTTCTTGAGAGGCTAGTTCCTCAGCCTCTTCCCAAGATAAATGGTCTCTGCCCTTGACAGCAGCTTCTTCAAGAGCCAACTGTTGCTCAGTGATGAGACCAACTTTTGCAAAGTAGTTCTGCTCAAGTTCAATCAGAGAAGCCCTCTCTAGTTCAACCTCGATAAGCTGCTCCAGTGCTGTATCTATCGATCCCCGAATTTGGGAGACTGATCCAAAAACATCCATAACTTCTGAATTAAATGAAATTACAGATTTTATCACACTAGGTAGAACGACTTCGATCATTTGCCAAACAAGGTTTTTACAGTAAAGAAGAGTGGTTTTAAAAATAGAAGCCCAGTTCAGTTGGGATGCATAATTTAAACTAAGTGCATCTGCCTCAATGACACAGCTATCCTGTCCAACACTCTGCTTTAGCTCATTGAGAAACTCAGTTACAAGGACACATTTTTCTATATGTTCTTCGAGCTCATTGAAAAACGATCCCAGATCAGATAATGGCCCTTTGTCTGTATTTCTTTCCCCTGGAAAATGATTCAGGCCTTTATTCACTAGGTGCTTAACATCATGGAGCAAATTGCTTGTGGCTGTATCTAATACAATTAGAACCCTTTCTTTCTTTTCTTCAATCTCCCCGTGCAAGGCAGTGTCTGATGGTTCTCCATGTATCACTGGTCCCAAACCCAAACTATTGCCTCTCCTATTGAGACTAGCGTGCTGTGCATAGTCCATGAAAGCAGATAGAAGACGTTCCTTGGATTTCACTTCAGTATCTGTACCAATAGAGTTCACAAGTTCTGCTCGCTCTTCTTCCAATCTCTCTATATCTCCTGCATACTTTGCTACCTTAAGACAAAGATCATCATAACTGCTCTTAATAGAACTATATCCATCTCTGTGTCCATTCATGATGAGCTCAGCTCCCTGCCTCCGAGCAACCGATATAACATCTGACGAGAGTGCATTCAGAGAAAGTAAAATCTGTTCCCAACCATGTACTGGACTGGTTGTAATGTAATTTAATGAAAGGATCCGCTGCAGAGCCAAAGAATACAATTGGAGTGCTGCAACCGCTGAAGAAAGCCCAGAATCCAGCTCAGCTACTAAATGAGAAACTTCCCTATCAATGTCGTGGCAATGAACTTGTGTGGGTTCAGGAACAACAGTCAATGGAACCCCAGCCACTAGAACTGCAAAAGTCAGTGATAAAGCTTCTTCCGAACCAGTCAGCTTTATACATGCTTTAATTTCAGGAATTGAACTACTTCTTAAAGCATCAAGAATCCTTCCATGCTGCTCAATCCAAGTTGAAGCCTCTCGCCCTTTCTCCACTATCATAGCCTGTGCTTGACTGAATTCTCGAGCCTGCAGTTCAAACAAGGCACGACTTTTCTCTGAATTACAAGTTGCTTCGGCAACCATTGATTTTGCAGATGTCTTATGCAAAAGAAGGTTAGATCTCTCTTGGTCCGCATGATAAAATAGACTGGAGACAACCTCGTACTGATTCAGAATGTCAGCAAACCTCTGCACATCATTTCTAAAGGATCAATAAGCTCCAACTACTTAAAAAACTTGGGATAGGCCAATATGACAGTAAGCTATACACACCTCAAGGGTCGACTCAACAGCTGGTAAGGTAGCCAGTAAAAGATCATGATGTTCCTGGTGATTTCAAACAAGAATGAGTCAATTATAAAGTCATAATCAAATGTGTGCTCGTGATTCATTCTCAAAGAAAAGGAATGTAAAGGATAATATTACTTGAATATTATTATCATTGTCAAAAGAGGACTAAGCGAAATCCAAAACAGATAAACTGAATAAAAATTGCAATAAAAAGGTTCATCAGAACTATTTACAGAATACATTATAAAGCAGCAAAGACTAAATAAAAATTCCATCTAAACAAAGACCACAGCTGAAAATTTCAGAACTTCACATGGACATGGAGACAAAAAGAGTTTAGCCTAAACCAAACAAAGAGGGTTCTTATAGAACTCTTGATATTCAATCACACAAAGGGACAGATATTCTTCAACTATTGGAAATTACAAAAAATTAGATGAATATTCTGTAGAATAAGCCAATAATACTGTAGAATAAGTTATTCATCAGCACCTGCAATGGAACACGAATTTCTTGGACACGAGATGCAAATAGACTTAAGCTAACAGCAAGCTCCATGCCTTTTCTTTCTTCACCAACAATAGCCGCATCATCATGAAAGTTCGCACGTGTCCATTCCACAAGTGGATCCCAAACAAAAACCTCTAGCAACATCAACACAATATCCTTATTCTTCTTCAGAACACCTAAAACAGCTTCACAATTTGCCCTAAAGGTACCTTCCACACCAGTCAACCCTAATGCAGCTTCAATTGTCTGGGTAAGGCGAAAGGGTACAATTTCAGGAATCTTTAATCTCTGTCCTTTGTCAAAGCACACATTGTAATCAATATGGACAATATCCCCACTACAAAAATCTATGAGGATATTATCCAAATGTCTATCACCTAGACCCAGAATATGACCAACAATGCTCATGGCTGCCAGACTCCCAGAATACCTGCAAGAAAACCAATTTATATGCATAAATCAATATGAAAGGATCCATATTTCAATAAACAGTAAACACCTTGCAATAAAATGAAAACTCATCCGATCATCACAGCTCAACTTGAGAAATACCAATATGATTGATTATCAATTACCATAAACTATTTTTAAAAAATATAAAACAAGTACAATTTTTAGCGGTTGTTAGCAATCATTCTTTAGTGGCAATAGTTGTTCTGGTGAAAATTTAGGATTGTCAATGATATTCTTTTTAAATAAGACACTAAGATAATTACACTCCAGGATGCCCTGCGAAATAATAATTAAAATAGGATATAGAAAGAGAGATGCACTTGGTAATATATCCAGAACTTACGAAAATATAATGCAATAGTTGAATTCAGATAGTGAATATCGCATGCATGCAAATATATTTGTATGTTAAGCAAAATAACCATGACAACTTGTGTTAGCCTTTTAATCTAACATTAAAACCTTTTCAATTTTGAGCTGAAGGCTTTGAAACCTTCACTGGCACACCAAAGCTCCTGATGAAGAAGTTGCTTAGGAGCCTCCTTCATGAGATCCCAAAGTACTTTTCGCTTGACATCATGAGGCCAGTCTCTTCTCGATATTACTCTTCTAATGCCTTTCTCTTTGAGTGCAGGTATGATTTTACCATAAAACATGTCACTGGGCCGGGGCACAGGTGGAGGAACCATATTTTTTGTATCACCACTCAATGCAGAAATCTGTGCTAACTGGACTCGGTTCTGCCATGATTTAAACACACTATAAATGCTAATGACATTATCCACCCATCGGATCAGGCCAGCTCGTCCGCTAATTGGTGTCACAGAGTAATGACGAATGCCAAGTGACCGACTACGAGTTGCAGAAGATGAATGAAGAAAACCATTTACAGCTTGCAATAGCTGCATAATTCTGGCATCAAGACGCAAGTCCTCTCGTCCTTTCAAGAGATATGTATACTTCTGACCATCAGAGCCCATTATAACAAGTTTTTTGGGTTTGGTCTTGGTTGATAAAATCGCTACTTGTTCAGAGAAAGAAGCAATTGTCACAATTTCCTGGGGAGCAGTATTTAAGTCTCTTTCTGATTCAGACATTGTAATTTGCTTCTCAAGACCTGGCATTGGAGCATCAGATGTTGACATCCAAGCCAAATGAGGGGCAACTTCTCCTAAAGTTATTGATGACTTCCTTTGATGAGATGCCAAGGAAGCAGCAACATTCTCAAATGGTCGCCACACATCCCCTAGCATCACAGCTGATGCAGGAGGAGTCTTAAATTTTGTGACAGCTGTTTTGATTTGGTCCTGGTACTCCTCAAGGAACCACATCTCATGAGGTGTTTCAGGCTTCCGAGAAGTAGAAGCTAAACGACGCTCTAAGACCACAATGATGGGAGCCATCATAGCAGAGTATTTTGCAGCATTTATCTTGTTTTTCTCTCCGGGACTAAGAGTTGTACTCTCTGCAATTCGTGCAGCCTCCTCTTTCAGCAAATTTATGCGCCTCATAACATCTGATGAATTGCACATTTTAAAACAGGTTAAAAGATAATTAAATTCATAACAGAGCATTGAAAATTGCGATGAAGAAAGGGGACAAAAGAAAAGGATAAAGAAGCTTGGCTAAGAAATGGCCAAAAACTAAGCCAAATCATCTCTATATCTAGATTTGTATAATATGAGTCTTAATCTGTGCTACATTACTCCTCTATTCAACGATAACAATCTTCAAAAGCACCCCAAACATGCAATCAATCCTTAATCAATCAAATATTAGAAGAACTATCCAATTTTTAAGAGCTATGCAACATATGTTTACAGATTTTGTAATCAAAACATCTATGGTATCACGGCTGACATGATAAATCAATGATGGAAACTAAAAGGTGAAACCAGCTATATCAAAATCAAATTCACTCTCAAAAGTCCACAAAACCCTGAGATATTATCTCAAGCATCTTACTAAAAATCAAGTGACAGTAAGTACAGTTTCAAAGAATATTGCCATTAAGGGGTCAGCTTCAGCATATAATCCAGTACATTTGCGACTTTATTAGTTTCAGACACCTAAGCAGATATCCAAAAAGATTAGAAAAATATCCCCTGATGATCCTTCAGAATTTTGACATCTGTTATGTCACTTAGCTTTGTTTCGTAAATGACCAAGTATATTACAAGGGGTGTATGTACGGTAAGTTCCTGTCTTAAGCAGTGTCACTGTTTTCTTCTGATACCTTAGTCCCCTTACTCCTTTTAGGGCTCAGACATTTTTTCCTGTATCCACTTTATCGCATGTGCACTCACTATGCTACAGCATAGTGCCCTTGGCGACTCCTCCACATAAATATATTAGGAAAATAAATGTAATTTATTTTTGGCACACTCTGAGTGTGCATAAACTAGAATTAATACAGTTCAACACATATCCAACTATTATCAAGTCATTTCAGCGAGAAAAAGATCACCTGCATGAAGATCTTGAAGTGTGCTCAGCCACAATTCCTCCCAAAGTACAGTTACATTTTCAAGCTCTTTAATCATCAGCTGAGCATCTTGTACTAACCTTGGATAAAGCTTATTCTACAGTAAAAAAAATTATCAGTCATAACCTGGATAAAACTTATGCAAGAAGTACAATTTTAATGGCAATCACAATTGTGGCAACAAAAGTTTCTCAGTCATAGAGCTAACCATGATATGTACATCCTTTTTATAAAAGTAAAAGTTCTATTAATAGTTCAAGAAGTACAGTATTAGGAGACAGGATGTTCTGAAGAATTAAAAAAGGCTGGAATTCAAGGAACAAATCACAATCCCAAGAGAATATGTTCCCACTTCAAATTCATGCGAGAGAGATCCCAACATAAACCAACGGCCTTGCATCATAAGCAAGCTAAATAGACTATATAATAGAGCTGTTAGCAGGGCACGAGTAGGTTGCACATGAACTAGGTGAATTAGAAGAAGATATACCCATAGACAGAATAGAATCCTAGAACAAGGAGTAAACCAAGCTGAAGGATCCTATTGCTAGGGGAATTTTTAAACGAAACCGAGCCTTATCACTCGGTCCTAATCCTACTAGTTCTTTCTCTTGTTGAGTTACGAGTTAGTAAGAATCAAGCGTATGGCATCTGTGGAATCGGACAAAGGATCTTCAGTACTAGATGCACTGAGATAAACTGATTCTCATAAAATTCTAGAATTTCATTTCCAACAAAACACACCACAGAACAGAAATAGAGCCCCTCTCTATAACTTCTCACAATCATCACCAATTTGTAAACAACCTACACCACAAAGTTCTAGCAAAAGGACAATGCAGACAACAAATTTTTCTGGTTCAGAAAAGAAACAGAGGAGTGTGCCTATAATCAGCATAATATTACATGCAGAAATGATAAGTCTCTGGTGCATGAAGACAAAATAAACCAAAATCTGCAAGTACTGAACACCTTATAAACAATCAAGCATACATAAATCTTCGAATGTAAACAAGTTCTTACTTACCGTGATTAGCAAAAAGATAATAGCACAAGGCAGGAAATTGTAACACGTTCAATTTTTCAAGCTAAGCCACCATAAGAAAGAGACCATAACTTTTAAGGCACATATGGAGTCGGATTATCCCATTAAGATATCTGATATACGGAACAGTTTTTTTCACTTATGTGCTAGATTGTTACATACTAAAAGGCTATACAACTATATATAGTCAAACAATAATTAGTGTGCAGAAAATTATATTTGTGATGCTCAATTAAGTGGCAATTGACAAGTTCAAACAGTTGCCGCAAAACAAAACTCAGAAGAAAGCCAAGAAGATAACATTTGAATATTTAGGAAAACAAGACCTTGAATAAGGACACCAAAAGGAAGAGAAGGGTGTACAATTATTTCTTCTAGAAGTTACAAGAAATTCTCATCATGGTGGCGTTCCAATTTCAAAGGTATACCTCCGCATTCGCACTTTCCACTTGAATATAAGTACCATGCTACAGGGGATCAAATAAATAAAACAAAACTTCTAACCGTTCACGTCCAAATGTATGCACATAGAACTAAATGATTTCTAAACAAAAAAGTAACATGCTACAGGTAGCACTTGAATATTATATAAAAAGAATTAAGTAATCGTCAGGAGGACATGGAAACAGAACTTCTACTAACCAAATAAGCCAGAATTGTCAGAATCTCTTCAGAAGATTTCTTTCCATAAGCATTTGCATCGACAAGGGTAGGGTAGACTATAGACCAAGGAAATAGCTTTGCTAGCATGACTAGCAAACTCTCCAACTGCTTCCTAACCACCTGTTCAGGATGAGCACTCAATCGAGCAAACAGTTGAGGAATTATTTCCTTCAGAAAAAGAAACAACAAATTAGTATTTAGTGTTTTAAATTTAAAACAATATAAAAATTAAAGCACTATCTCACCTGCCAGGGTAGTAAAGGAACTATTGAAAGACCAGGTTCAAGTGTATCTTTTAACTCAACCCCATAGTTGAGCAGAATGTGCAGGACATAGAGTGTGGCCCTCAGGGTGTAACTCACAGATTTATACTGGGAGTCAACATTGCACCCAGTTAATTGACCATCAATAATATTCAGAGAGGAATGTGATAGATAATTAATGAAAGCTTGAGCCGCATGACCAAAGAGAGAAACCCTTCTCCTCCTAAAAGACCACCAAACCTCAACCAAGTCATCTACCATAGATAATACTTCAGCTTCGTCCAGGGAAACATTAGTAGACACTAAGCATTTGTGTAACTGAGAAGATAGCATAGCAGACAAGCTAATGCTACTGCAGTCCTGGATTCCAGGTGCTCCGGCTGTAGACTCAATAGCATCTACTATTTGATGCAACAAAGGATTCAGATCTTTCATATTTTCAGCATATCCAGCAAGACTACAAGTTCCTGCTTCTTCATTTCTCTCTTTCAAGTCGGATCCTTCTTGAACAAGCTTATTAATGATGTCCTTAATATGAAACTGCTCTTCTTCAGTTAACCTAAATCTATTTGGCTGTATTTCAGTAGCAAGAATGGGAGAAAAGGAACAAGAATGCAAGGCAGACTCATGATTGGAGGAGACGGATGCTACAGCTTGAGCATAACACCAAGAGGCGTATGAAATCCACGACTTTCCCATCATGGGGCAAAGACGAGTAGACATCTTTTTAAGAGTACCTACAAGTTCATCTACTATAAGATTTACATCTGAGCTTAGATTACGATCACAGAAGGAAAATGCCTCTTTGACTGGAGATTCATCGGTGAAATTGAAGTCTGTTAGCATCTTAACAACAGCATCCTCGAACTTTTTACCAGAACAGTCTCCCTGCAACCAATTTGCAAGTTTCAAGCAAGCCTTGGCCTTTAAAAAACTGTCCCGAGAGTTAGACCTTTCCACTGAAGAATTATCTATACAAGGATGCACAAATGACCAAAGATTCACCAATGCATCTTCAAGCTTGTTTTCTGAATGCATGAATAGAATGTTCTCATAACGCAAACTAGAAATCATATAATCACGAGAACTTTCATCAGAACAACTTGACACGTGAACTTTGAGATAGTTGTTCAGACGAGTTGCCAACATAAGATTGCTTTGCTTGCGGGCTAAGCTCGATAAATTCTTACAAAGTTCAAGAGTCCCTAGTGCAGTTGGGAGTGTGTTTTGACGAACTCGCAGAACTTTTAGCCACAGATTGCAATCCTGATGTACTCGGTTACATCTGAACTTGCCCGTTTGGATATATGAACTTAATAATGACTGGGAGGGCTCACTGTTGCTGCTTCCAAGTTTGCAACTTCCCTCGAATTCAGAGATGCAGTGTAACTGATTGACATGTGGTGCTGCCTCCACCAATCCATCAAGTGGCAACACAGACAATGTCTCCTCCAGCATTGACTTGGCCTTCTGCAACTCATGGGGCACCTTGTCCATCTTTCCCTCCGTTTGTAGAAGCATTGCCTGCAAAAGCATTTGCTCACTCCTCTGCAATGCCAACTTCGGATCAAGTGTGAGTTCATTGCTACTTTTAGGAGTCAAATCGAGGCATGCCCATGCGGCCTGGTACTCTCCCTCATCAAAGCAAGCCAAGGCTTGAATTGAATTTATTTCATTCCCAGCAGTGGTAAGAGCACCCGTGTAACTCTTTCCAGCATGCTTCGCACGAATTGTTTGCAACTCTAATAGCCAGGATTCCAAAGACTTCCAATCAGAAACAGCTGTATAATTCTCGATAATACGAGCAATGGCAAACTGCACACCATCAGAACCCATAGAAGTAAGTGATTCTTCAGTCTGTAACAAATGAATAAAGTGAGCAGCAGCTTTCTCATGCTGGCCTCCTGCCTGATATACAAGCCCAGAAATCCAGGCAAAAAATCCTGAGTTCTTGCCATCACTTGGACATGGGTTTTCCTCTGTAAACAAGGGAGAAAAAGCCATGGTTGCCCATTTCTCTAAACCAACTAATGCCTCTGGTTCATAATTCTTACACAAAGCCAAAGCCATGTGTTGCAAGATCCTCAATATATCTCCAGCATATCTTCCTCTGATGTTATGGAGATTTTCTGTCAGATGGACTCTTGACTTCTCCGTCATTGCCGAAGCCACAAGGTTCCTGAGATCCTGCAGGCGTGAGGTGCAGTAATGAATCGTAGCATCATGAGACTGAAGTGCCAATCCAGCATTCATCATTGGGTCACATATTCGAGAAAACCACTCTTCACAAACTTTTTTATTTGCCCGAAAAAATAAAGAGCTTTGCCGGGAAGCACACTGTAATACTGTTGATCCTTCATACGCATTATACACATTTTTCTTCAGGGCCTCGACAAATTCCAGTAATAATCTCATTGGCAATAAGTGAGCATACGAACCTATGACATTTAAATTTCCATCATTTTGGTCTTCATCCAACTGTAGCACGTGATCAATGTCAAGAAGCATGCGCTCCAATGCAGCAAAAGTTTGTGTTGGCCCACCAAGATTAGTCCGAAGTCGCGTATTAATACAAAACCTAGCTGCTTCATGTATAGCCCACCATGCACCAGCAAGGATATTAACTGAGCAAATCTTTTCAAGAATATCTTCCTCCACTCCAACGTCCAACCATAAACCGTTTGCATCGGCATTTCTTGTTTCCTCATACCAAGTGGATGCGAGGTCCCTTTTGCTCTGGCAAGTATGAATGAGCCGCTCGATCCAAGAAGAAAGAGGCACTTTCCATCTCTGTGAAATATAACTCAATATGGAAACAAGTTGCTGAGAGTGAAGTTGCTGAGGCAATTGCTTAAGGGCAAAAACTTGCTTCCAGTGCAAATTAGACCTGTTGGAAAACGTAAGAACTTGCAGCCCAGATGTCATAGCCGCTCCATAATCACAAAGACCACATGTGTATGTCGTAATAGGCAGCACGTGTGAAAGCAACTTCAGATACACATTCTTTATGTTATTATCCGGATCTCCGAGCTTTTCGAGGATCGTTTCTGCAATAATGGAAAAATGCATTGGATGGATAACTTTTGCTTGCAGAAGCATCTCAAGAACTGATGCCACATGAGATCTCACTCTTGGTTCCCTATCTGATGCAGCAGCCAAAGTTGAGAACACCAAATCCTGGATGATTTTGATGCATCCGAATGCTTGGCAAGGGTAAAATGATGTACTTATATTTTTATATGTGTTGATGACATTTTCAGAAAATTTATATATCCATTCTAGGGCAGCTATTTTGACTCCCAGAGGAGAAGAAGTGTCGAGAGCTTTGACAAGTAGAGCAGTGTACCTCCTCAGATGTCCAAAAACAGTCGCTGCTAGTACATCTCCTGCATTTTCACCCTCTGCACGTTTATGGGATGCTATCTGCAGTGAACCCCTCTCACTATCCTGTTCCTTTATGGAGCACTTGCTTAAAAACTCAACCGTTGTAAGTGTTTCCAACGTTTTAAAAACAGCAACTTGCATATCTACACAACTTTTGATGGGTAGGTGAAATGGATCCAACGTTTCGATAATAGAAGTTGCTAATTTTTCTGCCCTACAAACATACAAAGCCCCAATTTTTTCTCTTCCAATTAACCTAATGCCTCCACCCAAAGAAATACAGCTTAACAGTACTTTCAAGTCAAATTTGACCATCGAAACCAACTCACATTTCGAATAAGATTTAGGACTTATAAATGTATCAAGCTCATCCTCCTTTAATTTTTTTCCAAGCATTCCCTTCAATAACTTTAGCTCTTCAATCAAGGAATCAATTGCATTTTCAACTACATCCATTTTGTCATGTTGAAGTAAAAAGATATACGTAGCTGCAGCACTTCCAGTCACTAAGTGATTTGGATGCAGACGCAGCTGAGATACGGGCCCATCAAATCGTAATACTTTTTGTACCGATGATGGTAGAAGGCCGAGCTTTTGCAGTGATAGCAGTTGAAGGTTAGTTTTGAGAACACCATGAACCTGGAAGGAAGTAATACTCTTTGTCCCCTGTAGTTGGTTTGCACTTTCCACTTGCAAGCTTTGAAACAACAGATCAACTGCAATAGGGTAAAAGGTAGAAAATCCATCACTTAAAATCTCTGCCAACAAAGTCAAGCATCTCCAAGAATCCTCTATCCATTTTGACCAACCAAATTTCCTCCCAACCATAGACAGGCATCCTAACAAAACAGGTACCATCTTGGAAAGAGGTTCAATTATTTGTTCGAGCAAATTTATTTCCAGCAAACCAGAAGCCACAGACTGCAAAACTGTACAAAAGCAAGACAGCAACGCAAGTAATCTTTTAAACTGTTGCGGAGTACCAGGGCTCCCATCCACAAGCAGTACATCCAAGTCACCCAAAAATTTTGACAGCAGCCCCAAAGAAAATTGCATATTATTCACCCAGTGTTTCTGAAATTGCAAGAAACTATCTATAATGATGCGCCTATCAGATTCTGTAATATCTGGTACCATTGCCCACCCCAGAAGCAGATCAACAATGTCCACAAAATGCGGCTGGAAGCATCTGAAAAACTTCAATGAAATCAGTGTCAACGCACCAAGAAGCCTGTTCAGTAAACTCATGGAGGTTCTCTCGTCCTCGAGAAGTTCTTGGCAAGCTTTGAGAATTGGCATTGCATATCTTTCAAGCATTCCAACATCTCCAACACTGAGAAACTCATGAAGGCCATCCAATGCTAGTTCTGCAGTTCCATCATTGATGTTGCTAAGGGAAGGCAATGCCCAACCAATGAATCGATCAATGAAACTGTTGAGTATAACATGGTTCTGCCTTCCATTTGAAGGAACCGAACACAATACAGAACACAAAGCCCCATATGCTGTGGTTGCAGCCTGACGCACTGAATATGACCTATAACAGGTGTGAGTAAAAAAAAAGGTCAACCCAAGTATAACATTAACTGCACAAAACTGAGTAGACTTCAATCTAAAAATCCTATGAGATTAGAAACCTATTCACATTACAGAATCCACTGAAGCTAATTGCATTGAAAATATCAAATAACACATTTTGGTTTTCAAGTAGCGATTTCAGTCTAAAATCTCTTGAATTATATTGTTTTATTAGTAAAAAAATTAAAAATTATCGTGTTTGCTTTATTGATCATGAATTCATACATATACAGCTAACGATACATATATAAATAGAGTGAGAGATAGTGTAAAAGTACTTGTCAGAGAGGAGTTGAGAGAAGCCTTGAGCAAGGAAAGAGGCGGAGTGGGCGACCAGAAGGGAGTTAGGAGGGTATAGAATGGCACGGTGGAGAGAAGTGATGGCGGTGAGTCGAGAAGATTCTTCTTCTTCTGAAGATTTGGCGGCGGCGGAGGTGGCGGATGTGGTGGGGGAAGATAAAGAAGTTGAAGTTGATTTTGAAGAGTCATCCTTAGGGAGCGCGGCCGTGAGAAGCGCCGCGAGCTGTTGGTGGTGGTGGTGATTAAGTCCTTGCATCATCTCTTCTCCGCATCTCTCTCTATTCTGTTACTTCTCTGGTATTCTCAGGCATCGTTTTGTATATCCTTTTCTCACCGGCGTGAGGGAATTGAAGAGCCACCGTCCACCGCCCTTCCGTTAGTTGAGTTTGCCGTCAGTGTACCGCATTTACATCTTTGCCCTTTACACACTAGTATATTGCTTTTCACGCTGGGACCGTAGGGTACTGTTCAATGAAAAAAAGCTACTAAATTAATACAAAAATAACAAATTAAAATCAACAAAAACGAACTCAAAAAGGTTATGTAAAGAGAACAAAGTAAAAAAATTCTTACTAAGAAATACGAACTGAAAACGAAGCCAGAACCAAAAATTCCGAATAAATTAATATAAAGAAATAAGAACTTAGAATTGAATTGTAAAGAGAAAAAGAATAGATTCTCACTCAAATGAGGGGATTTGAAAATCCTTTCCATTGGGAATATAATAGACTGTTACGGTAAAATTCTCAAGAAGAGGTGAGTAATGACGACGGATTTTGATTAGTGATTATTTTAGTTCTAGAAAAGATTGAACCGTAACTTTTGTAAAACAAAGAAATTAGGTCTCCAAAGAGGAAATAAATATATTAGGTCCTCAACCTATGATTTTGACATCTTCATCCCCAACCTTTTTTCAGTTTTGCGGTACCCAAGCTTTTGAAAATCCTTTCCATTGGGAATTTAATAGGTTGTTAAGGTAAAATTCTCAAGGAGAGGTGAGTAATGACGGACGGACCTTGATTAGTTCTAGGAAAAGTTGAACCGTAACTTATGTAAAATGGAGAATTTAGGTCATCATATAGGAAATAAATATATTAGGTCCTCAACTTATGATTTTGGCATCTTCTTCCCCAAGCTTTTTAAGTTTTGCAGGACTCAAGTTTCTAATGGACATTTTTAGCCTTGTCTTTAGTAAAAAACTCAATTTTTTTTTTATTAAAAAGATCATTTATGGGAGCTAGGTAGGAGTGGGCATGGGGCCATTTGATTTAAGTTTTTAAAGAATTCGACTCAACCTTTCTAAAATGAACTCTATAAACGTTAGGTGGAGATTTTGACTATTTATACGTATATCGTACTGAGAATGTCTTATGGTAATCAAGTGATGTTATGATTGTTTTTACAAAAAATGGGTATATGCATTATGTTGGTTGACTTATGGGCTTTTTACGTTGATCCAATGACCAAATTACAGCATTTATGATTATGTTCACAAGAGCTCTTAGTGTATGGTAGTTCCGATTCATGGTACCCAATAAGAAGTCATATCAAGCATATGCATACTTATCACGCACACAACTCTACTCACTAAACAGTTGTTCATTTTCGTTGTATGTTTAATTTTTAGACATATAGGTCTTGGATGACCGTAAAGAGTGCTACATGCAGGATAATGATCAAGGCATATGGATCTTTTGAATATATCGGGGGTCGCATCATTAAATATCATTGCTCACTAAAGCCACAATACAAAACACGATACAATACAACCAACAATTCGTAGAAGGAAAAGAGGTAGTAAATGATGCCATAATAGGGCAACTTTGTTCCCATACCTAGGTACAAAGCCACGAGAGCCACACCGACATCCCTAATCAAAATTCTAATATCAAACACAACCAAAGAATTAGAAGAAAAGGAATGACGCTACCAAAAATCTCTACCTGGTAGATCTCGAACTGGATACTTGAATATTGCACGAACCGATTTTCAATATCTGAAACAAAGGCGTCGAGGTGTGTTCTCGTCGCCCTTCCAATACTTAAGTTAGAAAGAGAATTTATGTGAAAGACTATATGCTGAAAATTATTTAAAAGCATACCTAAATAAAGACCTTGGTCCATTATTTATAGATGTTGGCCATCGAGTTCTAAGAGGATCCAACCACCAGTAGTCATTATCCTTATCATTCAATGTATTTGTGTTATATTGAAAGTTTTCTGTTTAAGTTTGAATCAAACTTGTAGTAGGTTGACACTTTGGATTAGGATAAATTTTATGATGAATCACAATTAGAGTTTTGGATTAATGTTTCTAAAAAGTATGAGATAAGGGCAAGGTAATCGTTATTTGGGAGCATGACCCCGATCTATTAGGCCCAACCTCGTTCACAGATATTTTTGTGAAGGTGAGATCGGGGATTATGAGCTTGAGTTTGGGGACATGTCCATATTTTCTCGTATCAAAGAATAACTAGAATTTAATTGTTAAACAAGGGTCAATGCATCACATTCTACTTTTAAGTAATCATCCAGCTATATGTTTGGTAAGCAATAGACTTTCCCAGAGTGCAAAGGCCTCGATAACTTCAAGAGAAAAGCACATGTGAATTCCTCACGATAGAGTAGACAAGATCGTACCTACATCGTCCTGGATGACAGCTCCAAGAATGACCACTCCATGTTCACCATGCACGGTTGCGTCAAAGTTAAGCTAGAGGGAACCTTGCTTCGGTTTAGAACATAATACATTGGATGGTGGTGCCTTCCTAGAAGGCCGAAGTGCCTTCATCTAGCAAAAGGCAAGCAACTGGTTTCAAGAATTGATTGGCGTCCCGAGCACCCATGCTATGCTCAATACCTTTCCCCTCTCATCAACAAGCCCGACATAGAGCATTTGCTCCCCATATCTTTGTTAAATTGCAGTTGAAAGAACAAAATAGTATCCCTGATATGCGGGAGTTGCCCACACTTCAAAACAGGCCAGAGGCTAGATGCTTCCATATCATCTGACTCGGACAACGAAATAATGGAAGCTTGCTATCTTCCATGAAGTGGCACTTGGTGCAATTGAGTCGAAGATCAACCCGATGCCTAATCAAATTGGCCTTCGAGGGAAGTGCATCATAGAACAAATGGATGAAATCACTAAAAATGTTGATAAAGCTTGGATCCACGTAGGGTTTGTTATCTTATTCGGTGAGCATTGAGCAGAAGACCTTTTACGAAAGGCTTAAGAAAGAAGTTCGCTCTTTTCCTATTTGATATACCTCTTTCAGTTGCTTTCTACCTTTACAGAATGAAATTAGTCACCTTCCTAAAATACATATACTAGCCTTTGAGGGAGGGAAAAGTTCGAAGCTTCCTAACTTGCTGAAAATATATATGGAATAACGATTTTACACATGAGTACTATAGTAACACTTGGATGTACTAATTGGAGACATCGTCGAATTTTTTGTCAATATCAAGTTTTTTAGTTAAATAATTGACGGTTGATTAATCTGGTGGCCTGACTAACACGTTTTATATTGCTTTGTGATAGGTCTGAAATAATATAAAGTTTAGTGGTCAAGATAACAATAAGTACCGAGTAGAGTACCCACTAGTGAAATCAACCCATTTGAGGGGGTTCTTTTAAAAATAACATAGTCAAAACCCTATAATTCCATTTTGACTTTTTTACCCAATATTGACAAATTTGCTGTAAAAAGATAAAAACGACCTAAAGTGACTAAAACAATTACAAAACATGTATTTTCCTAGAAAATGTTTTACTGAGAATTGTAATTAATTGTGTTTGATTGGTATAATTTTCCATGGAAAATGTTGAAAGTTTGATATCCATTGGGCTTCTTTTTTTATGGAATTTGTCCATTAAAGTGATAATTTTTTCTACCATTGGGTCTAAAATTTGTTCCAATTGTAAAAAAAAAAAATTTGAAAAAAATAAATTTTACCATACCGAATATTTTTCGTTTGACTTTGTTTTGCATGGAAGTTGTCAATAAAAGTGAAATTTTTTTTAACCATTGTATCTAGAATTTGTTCCCATTGCAAACAACAAAAAAAAAAGGTGGAAAATATTTTCCCACCAAATAGGTGGGAAAACAAAATCAAGCTTTTGTACATCAAATGATTGTACCTAGAAAAATGTGGAAAATGTTTTCCTAAGAAAATTTGTGCTATCAAACACCACAATTTGGGAAAAATGGAAAACGTTTTCCTACTTCCATGGAATTCCTTGGCTATCAAACATAGCCTAAACCTTATTTTAAATTTCAATTTCAGCACTCCTTCACACGTCGCTCTTAAATTGATGAACTTACAACTTGGCAATCACACCACAATGAATTTTGCACGTAATCGTTGGTGACATATCAGTTTACCACTACAACACATCCTAGAAGTATTACACACACACACACAAACCTTTAATTTTAAAGATGTTGCTATATCTCTCGTTATATCACTTTTGTTCGTAGGATACCACATAAAAATCACGTGGAAGATCAGTAACAATCTTACTGTCAACTAAGTAATTTGTACCAGTTTTGGGATCGATAGGCGAGAAAATGTAACAGAGTCATGTTCAAACAAATTGAAAATTAGTAACCTAATTGAAAAAAAATTAAAGTGTAGTGACTCAATTGTGATATCACTGAAAGTTCAATGACTACAAGTTAATTTTTTTAACCACAAATAATACTACTATAGAAGCAAGGGTGGACACAGACTTTTTGTGTCGTGGAATCAAAAATTAAAATGCAATTAAAAAATATAATATTAATGAAAATGAGTTAATACACATTTTGATATTTTGAAAAGTCGTATAATTACATCATTATCAATATTGTCAAATTGATTTTGCTACTTCTATAGTTTTATTTACCATCTCGTTGATAGATGCTTAACTGGTAGCAAGTAAATCAAATTAAATATAGGAAGTGAATGAATTGAAATAAAATTCAAATTTAATCTAGGAAGTAAATGTAATACAAATGTAATTCAAACTACATTTAATCTATAACCATCCTAACATTTTTTACGTCATATTCAATGTAAAATTTCTTAATAAAATGATGTAAATTATATAGAGAAATTTATTGTGCAAAAATAATAAACGTTAATGAAACAATTGAAATTTTTTAAAGAAAAGATGATTTAGATGCCTCTTTTTGAGAGTATGTTTGACGTATATTTAATTATTTTCGATATATATTCGGACCATTCAATATGATTAAGATACAGCTCTCGAAAC